CAATTGGTTGAGCATCTGACTTCTGATTTTGGCTCAGGTCATGACCTTGGGATTGTGAGATCCGCATCAGGCACTGAGCTCAGCATGGAGTCGGCTTGAGTTTCTGTCCCACTGCCCCTTCCCCCTGGCGTGTGTGTGTGCCTTCTCTCTCTCTCTCTCTCAAATAAATAAATATTTTTTAAAAACGACTATTATTCAGCCATATCAACATCCAGTTTGGGCTACTGTTCTTTTTTTTTTTTAAAGATTTTATTTATTCATTTGACAGACAGAGATCACAAGTAGGCAGAGAGAGGCAGGCAGAGAGAGAGAGGAGGAAGCAGGCTCCCCGCAGAGCAGAGAGCCCGATGTGGGGCTCGATCCCAGGACACTGGGATCATGACCTGAGCCGAAGGCAGAGGCTTTAACCCACTGAGCCACCCAGGAGCCCCTGGGCTACTGTTCTTAAACACTACCACATAAGAAATACCCACTTCTGCAATCCACACTGAAAAGACCTGTTTTCATAGCACTTCCTGCCTCAGGTAGGGCAAAGATCTTTATATCTCCAATATCTGTCACAGCTCCTCGTACTTACTAGCCACCCTGATATTTACTGAACTGAAATAACAGCAGTATTGCAATGAGTTTAAGAGGGAAAAAGTTAGTCAGTTTTTATTTTCAAAGACTTAGGGCTTCCTCTACCCTGCTGTCCTTTCCACATCCCATATGCATATCATAGCAACAGTACTATCTGCTTTACTACTTAACAAAGCATTTGCTACTGCCTTAACTCATTTAAATCTAAAAATAACCTGGGCACCTGGGTGGCTCAGTTGTTAAGTGTCTACCTTTGGCCCAGGTCATAATCCCAGGGTCCTGGGATTGAGCCCCATATTAGGCTCTGCTCGGTGGGGAGCATACTTCTCCCTCTCCCACTCTTCCTGCTTATGTTCCCTCTCTCACTCTCTGCTAAATAAATAAATAAATAAAATCGTTTTAAAAAAATAAAACAATAAAAAATAGCGGTGCCTGGGTGGCTCAGTGGGTTAAAGCCTCTGCCTTCAGCTCAGGTCATGATACTCAGGGTCCTGGGATTGAGCCCCGCATCGGACTCTGCTCAGTAGGGAGCCTGCTTCCCCCCACTCTCTGCTTGCCTCTCTGCCTACTTGTGATCTCTGTCTGTCAAATAAATAAAATCTTAAAAAAATAATAATAAATAACCTAGTGAGGTCACTGTGATGGTTACAGCCATTTTACAGATAAGAAAACTGACTCAGAAGGGTTAATCTCCAGTCACCCTAGAACACTGCCCGACTTGAAAGTCAGGGTCTTTCCACTGGGCAGTGCAGCCCCTTACATCCCTACATTCATAATAAGGCCCCTGGCCATTGGTAGCATGCTGGAATCACAGAGCAGGCCAACTACAGATGCTTTATAAGCCTCTGGGTTTATTTCATTTCAAAGTCGAAGGGAAATCATCCTTTTGGTTACCCATTGTTATTAAACTGGCAGTTTTCTGGCTTGAGCAGTCAAGAGTTAAACTTACCAGTAGAGGTATAAAATAAAAGTCAGCAGTCGGTTTTTCTCAATCCCTGTGTTTTGTTGCAAACATCTCTTGAGGTAAGAAAAATTGATTCTTATGATCAAAATGCTGGGTCATGCTGTGCCCACAATTTTATTCATTTTGTTCAGAAGAAATGGGTAGTAAGCCCATTTGCTTGCTGTTCCCTGTGGCTGAGCTAGTTCTGCTGCACAGCAGTTGGAGAAATTCAATTCAGCAGACGTTTATTGATGTGCCTTCCACGTGCCAGGCAGTGCACAAGGAGATGGAGATAACAGGGATGAATACACCCCAGTCCTTGTTCTCAAAGAGTCCAGAGTATTTTCCAGGCCCTTTAATCATGACATGCAGATGCTCTTTAGGGGAGACTTTGGATTAGTTTGTTTTACATTTTGGTAAAATACAGCCACTCTTAGAAAGTTACTATCTAAAATGTAAGAACTCCTTGTTGAATGTACAAAAAGAAAAAAAAAAAAAAGACACGCATGTTTAGAATTCAACGGTGATCGGAACTGACCTTTCACTTCAGAGCCAGCCATGTTGGTTTCCGAGTTGGGTGACATTTTTTCCCTTCCAAGATTGATAGAATCCATTTGTAGGCTCTAAATAAAAGCCTGAGGATTTACACGATTGAAAGTTAACCCAGCTGCCTCTCCATGCACATTTGCCAAGTTAGCACGTCTTTGCGCCCCGTGCATCTATTTAAAAATGCTAGAAGTAATATGCCAACATTATGGAAGTGAGAGAAATGGAGGAAAACTGCAAAATACAGTTGTACTAGTCACCTAAAATGTCACTGCCCTGATACCAAGAGGTGGCTGTACCTTTGCACGTCAATCTCCTCATCTATAAAATTGGGACTACTTAGTGCCTTCTTTAGGAGGCTTTGCCAGGACTAAACAAGTTAACAGTATAAAGTGTGCACGCCCCCCAAAAGCCACAATAAATGTGTACTTTTTAGAGTAAAAACATTTTTATGTCATCTTTTTGTCTCGTTTTTCCTCTTTTTGTACCAAGTTGTTTTCTGGTTGTACTTTTGTTTTCTTAGTTTCTCACTATTATATGATCATTTTCCGTCTTGCTATGTATGGTTATTACAATGTTTAATGGTTGCACACTGTTTTGTGGTAGGATATGGCAGTACCGTTGTAACTTATCCATTCCCCTGTTGTTGGACATTTGGGCTGCTTCCAGTGTTTCAGTATTATAAATAGTGCCTCAAGAACAGTTGTATGTATGCAGTGTATACATTTACTTACTGGGAAGTCTCAGGCCCATGGCTTCATCTCTGTCTTTGTTGCCCTGATGCTAAATGGGGATAGAATAGGTGTCTGAGAGGACAGGGATGTGTGGATTAAATGAAGGAATACAGCAAAGCACTTGCATCAGTGCCTGGCTCTTACCAGGTGCTCAGCAAACATTACCTCCTGAACCTGGGTCTGTTCCTTTAGGATTGCTCTATAGAAATGGAGTTGTTTCATCCACTGCTTTCCAAAGGATTTTACCAGTTTAGGATCTCAATGGTATTATGTGAAGGGACCAATTTCTCTACACCCTCACTACCCCAGGATTTAACTGTGTAACTCTCTTTCCCTTCAAAATGTAGTGAAAAGAGATGCTTGGGTGGCTCAGTCGTTAAGCATCTGCCTTTGGCTCAGGCCATGATCCCTGGGTGTGGGGATTGAGCCCCACATCAGGCTCGCTGCTCAGCAGGGAGCCTGCTTCTCCCTCTACCCTTCCTGCCTGCCCTGATTTCTCTCTGTCTCAACGTTCTCTCTCAAATAAATAAAATCTTCTTTAAAATAAAATGAATAAAATAAAATAATAGTGAAAAAATAAGTTTGTCCATATTGGGGCAGCTTGTTACAACTGGAACTCTCTTCTGCTCACTGCTCTGAACAGACCTCATGTCACAAAGGTTGGATTGCAGAGGCTGTTTTTATGTTTGTTTTCCTAAAGCTTGTAGTCCTCAGCTGCTTGCCACGAAATTGTGGTTTAAGTTGGTCCTCTGAACCTTTAAAACCCACCATACTTTATTCCTTACTGAAGTACATAGTATTGAGTATCTGTATTTTTTCTAAAACAAAGCGATAGTTTGGTCTAGTAATATCTGTTGTGACATATAATAATTTCAATGATTCCCTCCTCTCCTGCCCACCTCACCCCCCAAGAAAATGAATTGGCAAGGGTAACCGTATGTTTGGGTTTGCCCAGTTTTTACTTATCCTGGTATGATTATCCATCACGCCCACTTCACCCTCAAAAGCGACCTAGTTCAGATGATGAATTACACTGTCACCCGATGCCTAGGAATTTGTTAGCACCTGGGGTACCTGCCTACTCTTACTACCTCACTGTTTTTCTGGATGACTTCTACCTGTCAGGAAGGTTTCATCACCGTGCTCTTACGAGCCTTCACCTGGGAGGCCCTCACATGCACCCAGCCTGTTTTGAACATGGATTAGCCCAGTAGGGCTTCCCTCAAGCTTTCACATTTCCTTATCTTTTTTCCTCTGCATCTTGCCGATAACTGTCAATGGCATAAGCAGGCCAGGGCACCTCAAATTTGTGTCAGAATTGGCTCTTTGTCTTTCAAAACTGTTTATTCTGCAGCTCAATTCATCCCACAGGCAAGTGTAACATTCCTCATTTCTCACCACTTGCTATGTAAAACATGGTATCTGCTTTCAAGAATTTCATCTTAAATGTAAACCTCTTCTTACTAGGAATCTTTTTCTTTTTTTTTAAGAATATGGACTTCTTTTTTTTTTTTTTTTTTTAGATTTTATTTATGTATTTGACAGAAGACAAGTAGGCAGAGAGAGGAGGAAGCAGGCTCCCTGCTGAGCAGTGAGCCAGATGCAGGGCTTGATCCCAGGACCCTGAGACCATGACCTGAGCTGAAGGCAGAGGCTTAACCCACTGAGCCACCCAGTGGCTAGGACTCTAAACGCTCGCTGCTCTTGTCCTTATCAAATATGATAGATAAAGTTCTTTATATTTATAAAGTACCTCAAAGCCCTTGCACAAACACAGCAAAGAGGTTCAAGCCGAGTAAGCAGTAGCAAAGACACATCTAAGGTGACACACAGCCACCAGCTCCATGATTGGTCACAGAATTTTGCTCACAGGATGGAAGATTATAAGTATAGGTTCATCTGCATTGGAAAAACAAAAACAAATCAGCTTCTCAATGATGATTACCTTTTGCACTTAGGTAACTTAATTTTAACCGGAATAAAGGGCTTTATGATTTGAGAGGCTCTGTTTGCCCCTGAACAAGTGCCTGCATTTCTTGGGTAATGTATTATTCACAGTTTTAAAGAGGAAAAGCAAATGATTTGAATGTGGGATGCCACCATCTTGAACTAGCATAGGATGAATATGGGTCTGTAGTTTTGTAGGTCAGGATGTGGACTCTCAATGGAAAATTTGTTTTTCCATTTGTTTTAACCAGGTGACTTTCGGATGGTGATTGGAGAGGATAAGACAAAAGTGTTGAATATTGTGAAGCCCAACATAGCCCACTTTCGTGAGCTTTATGGCAACATACTACAGGAGAATCCCCAAGTGGTGTATAAGATCCAGCACGGCAGACTGGAGGTAAACTGTATGTGAGAAATAATTTATATTGTTTCTAAGGCAAGAGCTATTTTAAGAGGAAGAAGGGTTAGAGCAATATGATTAGTGTGATAACATTTACAGTTTATAAAAAGTAGATTTCATATGTAAACCTACTAGTCCATGTATTTGGAATAATGCCAAAGGTAACATAAGAGACAAGTAATAAGAGGCCATCTTTGGGAAAGGGAACGTGGGGCTGATGTGGGAAAGGACCTGTCTTTACCATGTATATCTTTTTTGCCATTTGAAATTCTTACTATGTATACTGATTACCAGTCAAAAACAAGTGAAAATAAATTCTCAGATTCTTCATTCCCAAACCCACTTGCCTCCCCAGACGTAACCTTACTGACAGTTTGGCATATATTCTCCCAGATCTCTTTTTGTGTGCATTTTTGTATTTATTTGTACATATACACATGTATGAAGAAGTTTGGTCTTTTTTTGTTTGGTTTGGTTTTATGTAAATGGTCTCTCACTTACATATATTTTTCTGATGCTTATTGTTTTCCTCACTCGTTGGGTTTATTGTATCTTGGCTTTCCTTTTGATACATCAAATGAAACTTTCTTTCTGAGTATCTTTAAAAATTATATATATATATTTTAAAGATTGTATTTATTTATTTGAGATGGTAAGAGTGAGAACACAAGTGGGGCAAAGGGCAGAGAGAATCAGAGTCCCTGCTGAGCAGGGAGCCTGATGCAGGGCTTGATTCTGGGACTCTGGAATCATGACCTAAGCCAAAGACAGACGCTTAACCGATTGAGGCACCCCCAAAAATTATATTATTAAATATTTGAAAGTAAATATTAAAGAACTCTTCCTTTGAGGAAAGTAATTTGAATTTAAGATTTTTTAAAACTCTAGAAACCACAGAGTTATTTTTTATGTTTAGCACAAAGAACACTGTATTTTAATGCTCTTCCTCTTCCAAATAATAGGGGCAACTAATATTATATTAAATATAGAATTAATGGAATTTTTACAACTGAAAGGGAACTTTGAAAAAAAATAGGAAGCATTTTTTTAAAAAAGAGAGTAACATGAAATGCCCAGAATTTTGCAAGTTTTTAAAATTTTTTACTTTTCTCAAAGTAATGCATGCACATGGTTTAAAAACCAAATGGGACCTCAGGGTTTATAACAAAAAGTAGCAGTTCCCTACTCGGGACCTTCCTGCTTCACAGTGCTTCTTCCCAGAGGCGACTGCTTTCATCTCGTTAGTAGTCCAATGTTTACCTCCATGTTTCTAAGCAATATGATGTCACTGTTATTTGTTGATTTTTTTTTTCTGTTTTATACTTTATTTTTGTCCTCCCTCTGTGGAAGATGAAGATTTTTTTACTCCCTTTTGTCACTCCCATCAACATGCTCTCACGGGTACACACTCGTACACACACACTTCCCTTCCTGCCTCATTCCCTCTTGCTCCACATACAGTTATTTCATAATTTTTGGTTAAGTTAAAGTTTGCTATTTACATTATTGTGAAACTTACTTTTTCTTCATTGCTGGGATACACTACTATGAAATCTTCTTTCCTGTGCAAATGTGTTTTTCTTGGAGTTAATAATTGTCCCATTTTCTTCATTTGCTTAAATTTTTTTTATACCTGTCACTAATTGATACCCTCTTACAGATCTGTATAGCTTCTCTCATCATAGACCAACACATCAGGTATTTTCTGTTTCTTGTTTTTCTTGGGGTTGTTTCTTCCTGGAGCTCCGTGTGCCCTATTCTTTCTGGACTGGTTGTTTTCTAGCCTTGTGGCACGGCTCTTCTCCTGGAGCATCTTTTCGTTATCACCCTGAGGGTTCTTTCCGCCTTCTCTCCTTTCCTAGGTTTTGGTTTTCTGCATTTTTTTGTCTTCTTTTTTCATGATTACACTTTAATTTTGGTGAAATATACCTTTTGGTACCTCTCTAACATAGGTTGCAAGGAAGGTAAATTTTTTGAGACCATGTACCTCTGCACATTCTACTCTTACACACTGATTGATAGTTTGGGGTACGTATCACATTCTAGGTTGGAAATAATTTTTCCCTCAGACTTTTTAAGTCACAACATCCTTCTTCTAGTTTCTAAGTGTTGTGTTAAAAAGTCCAGTGACTTTCAGATTGCCTGTCCTTTGGATATGACCTTTTTAGCTCTCAGATACTGTTTAGGATCCTTTCCCTTTTTCTAGTCTTAAATTTCATGATGATTTGTCTTTGTATATGTGTTCTTCACTGTTATTCTGGCACTTGATGAGCCTTTTCAGTCTGGAAACTCTTGAGCTCCAATTCTAAGAAATTTTGTTACTTCTATAATAATTTCTTCATATCCATTTTTTTTAAAGATTTTATTTATTGATTTGAGAGAGAGACAGTGAGAGAGAGCATGAGCAAGGAGAAGGTCAGAGAGAGAAGCAGACTCCCTGCGGAGCCGGGAGCCTGACGCGGGACTCGATCCCGGGACTCCAGGATCATGACCTGAGCCAAAGGCAGTCGTCCAACCAACTGAGCCACCCAGGCGTCCCTCATATCCATTTTCTTACTTTGCTCTTTCTGGAATTCCTGTTGGCTGGTTGTCAGACTCCTGGTTTGATCTTTTAAATTTTTCTTTTCTCCTTCCTTTTTCTTTGGGGTTTTTGTTCTCCTTTCCAGAAGAATTTTTCAAATTGATTTTCTAGCACCACTATTAAATTTTTAATTTCCTTTGTTCTTTTTTTCTTATAGCATCCTGTTTTTGTTTTCCAAATGCATTATCTTTTATCACCCCTTTAGTGGTCTTCATTATAATTTTTGAAGTTTTATCTTCTTCTCTACATTGTTTCTATTTCTCTTACTGTCAGAATCTGTAGGATTTCTCCAGAGACATCATCTACTCCCTGGTTTGGAATCAGAAAAGATAATGTGCCTAGCTGCCAACTTTTGGAAAACTGAGCAAGGGAAAAGGGCTGGGAATTTTCTTTAACCCTGAAGATATTTCCAAATTCCTCGCTATGGCCTGTGAAAGCCTGCATGATCTAAGTCCTAATTGATCTCTTATCCTGGGTAAGCTTACAAGAGTAAGATTATGGACTGAATTACAGTTCCCAGCACTACTGAGGTTGTCACTGACACCCCCCTGTTCCTTCCCGTACTACACATTCCAAACTCCCCTCACCCTTATCTAGCACTTTTGCTGGGCTAGACGAGGTGGCCCAGACCCTCATCCCTAAGGCATCTAAGACCCAGTCACCTTGCCCATTTCAGGCTACGATTGCTCCCCTTTCCCTTTACCATCAAAATTGGGCAAGGGGTACTGAGAGTTGTGTACCAGCAGCTTTACCTCAGATGATCAGGATCAATTACTTCTGCCACTATGGTGACTCCTTTCTGTGTCTGCTGGACTTTTGGCATGGGATCTGAAGAGAGTAGGTGGCAATCATACCTTTAAGTTTAAAGTCTTGAAGTTGTAGGCATGGGAGATACACATTTTCTGAGTGGGTCACTGGGAACAATGGGAAGCAAGGCTACTTCTTCCATCCCTTGGTTCCCAGACCTATGCATTCTACTGGTTGGGAATGAGGTACTCTGTAACAGGCATTAATTTAGGATGTGTACTGCACCCCGTTCTCACTGGGTATCATCTCCAAGCTGCTGGATCACCTGTTCTTCATTGCTCTGTCAGGATTTTTTAATGATGGAACTATTAGCATTTGGGGCTAGATAATTCTTTGCTGTATGGGCCCCAGATTTCCTCTTTTTGGGAACTGCTCTATCAGTCTGGCGGCTTTGGTGAAGTATATGGTAGTTATAGCAGAGACATGGTCCTGTGCCCGTTTCTGTACCTCTGTACCTCTTTTGCTCTAAAATGAGTCCCATAAGTGATGTTCCATGGTACAACCATGTTGGTGAAGCAGGCATCCTGTAGGCCTTGTCATGGTATTGGCTAGGTCCTGTGGGCAGGAAGGGCAAACCCATGTTCAGAACATATGTTACTTCCAATTAAGATGAATTACTGCCCCTTCCCAGATGGAAGGTGTCCAATGTAGTTAACGTCCACCAAGTGGCTGGTTAGTCTCAGGAGATGGTCTTATTATCAGGTTCTCAGCATTGGCTTCTGTTGCTGTCAGGATAGACTTTAACAACAGCAATAGCTAAGTCAGCCTTGGACTAGGCAGAACCTTGTTCCCTGCCACCATGGCTGCTCCTTTTATAAGCCATTGTGCCAGAGGCTATTGAATTAACTGGCTGAATTGTTCTTTTGGTTATTGTTGATTCTTCTGTGAAGGATACTTTCTTGTGGACATTAGCAAAATACAAAGATCTTCACACTGTGTGCATGCCTCCTGTACGTCCATCCACATACCTCTTCTCCCCAGTTTTTTGTCTTTAGTCTTCCAGTATTTTTCCTTTCAGGCCTAGCCAACCAGTGAACCATGCTTCACTCCCATGGGTCTTTGTATATTCTTACCCAGGGCTGCTTTGTCCATGTAAAGTAGATGGCCGGTGCACTACCTGAAGCATACCCATTTGGGAGGATTTCCCCTCATTAGTGTCTTTCAGGTCTGTCCCTGAGTGAGGCTGTAATGCATCATTTTTGGCTTGTGCATACCAAGCCAAGTCATCCCTGGAGCAAACTCATCCTTTATCCACCACAAGCCAGTCACAAGGGAACCTCCATGTAGCCATATGCACAAACGAGTGGAGAAATAGTATGGCGTGCACTGGTGCAACAGTGCATAGTCGATGGTATGGGGCCCGGGTTTCCTGCGTGCACAGCTTACTCGTGCCCTTTGGCCTTACTTATGTTGAATGCTGGTGTACCACTTCCATCTTACAGTGGATTACTGTTGAGCCTGCCTGACCTTAACAGTTAGTGAATATGAGAGATCTCAGTTCATGGTAGATGGTTCTTGATGCATGGTCTTTTATTGCTCCACGGTTAGAAGGGTCTCATACCTGGGAGCTGATTTCAAATGATGTATTGTTCTTCACTCCAGAGGGCATGACCATCTCCAGAACCCTAGCAGTCTACATTGTGATTCTCCTACTGAGAGCCTACCACAAGGTTCCTGTGGCTTCTTTTTTTTTTAAGATTTTTATTTATTTATTTGACAGAGATCACAAGTAGACAGGGGGCTGGCGTGGGGGGAAGTAGGCTCCCCGCTGAGCAGAGAGCCCAATGTGGGGCTCAATCCCAGGACTCTGAGATCACGACCTGAGCCGAAGGCAGAGGCTTAACCCACTGAGCCACCCACCCAGGTGCCCTGTGGCTTCTTTTTATACCAAAGATACCTTTAGCATTATGGAGTGTATATGGAGAATATGGCCCAAGTGAGGGCCTGCTTGCTACGCTGCCTGGATCTGCTGTAGAGCTCTTTTCTGCTCTGAGCCCACACACCTGGCATCCTTTTATACCACTTCATAAATGGGTCTAAACATTACAGTCAAGTGTGGAATCTGCTGCCTCCAAAACCTGAAGAGGCTTATCAAGCATCATGCTTCAGTCTTAGCAGTGAGAGGTGCAAGATGCACAAAGTTGATCTTTACTTTGGAGAGGATGTGTCAGCATGCGTCAGACCACTTGACCACCAAACTTTTCAGTGATGTGGTAGACTTCTGAAACGTCATAGGGTTTATCTTCTACCCCCTGGAGTGCATTTATCTACCGGGCACTCCAATGTACTTGCCTCTGTTGCTTACCAGGTAACAGTAGCCGCAAAGCATTGATGAAGTGGGTCAGCCCAAGATTACATGGAATGGCCACACAGTCTGGTTTTCTTGGGGGATCTTACAACAGAGAATGGGAGAGTTAACAGAGCCCTGAGGCAAACATAGATATACTATTGTCTGTCTCGTGAATGCGAGCTGCTTCTGATCCTCCTTCCAAATAAAGATGGAAAAGAGTGCATTCCCTAGTCTTGGCCCCATCCAGATACCTGCAGTTCTGTTGACTTGCTCTAATAGATTTACTGCATCTGGCACAGCAGTTGGAACTGGGACTTCCACTTAGTTGAGTTGTGGTAGTCTGCTGTAGTCTTCCAGAGTACATTTGGATTTTGTGAAGGCCAAACTTAAAGGAAGTATGATGGAGACCATTAGCCTTTGTATTAGTCAGAGTTCTCCAAAGAAACTGAGCCGGTAGGATATATATATAGAGAAAGATTTATTTTAAGGAATTAAATTGTGGAGACTAATGAGTTTGAAATGTACAGAGCATGCCAGCAGGCTGGAGACCCAGGGAAGAGTATGTTGTAGTTTTAAGTCTGAGGGCAATCTAGAGGTAGAATTCCTTCTTCCTTGGAGACTTTAGTCTTTTTTCTTAAGGCCTTTGGCTGATTAAATGAGGCCTTCCTGCATTATAGAGGGTAATCTGCTTTACTCAGAGTATGCTGACTTAAATATTAATTATATCTTTAAAAATACTCTTATAATAACATCTGGACTAATGTTTGACCAAGCAACTAAGCACAATAGCCTAGCCAAGTGACACAAAATCAAACATCACACCCCTGTATCCTTTAGGTATACAGATAACGCTGATACTCTGCCGTTCCTTCTGAGATGTGGTGTTTGTTGTTGTTGTTTTTGTAATCACTGTCTTGCATAAGAGGTAAAATGGCAGCTTCAGAGGCTTCCAGTTGGCCTTCCTTAGTATGACAGTTCTAAAATACCAACACAGAGTGTGCTCATTAGGACCGCTCCTGGTGCCTATTGTGTAGGATCGGGATTGAGCGGGTTTGAAACAAGCCCTCATCTGATCCTACAATGGCACTGTGGAACTAGGTGGCCTTTCCTGGTTGTCCCATCTTGGGGCAAAGAGGCCAGGCCTTTGTACTACTGCATTATCCACTCATTGGGTCCAAGCCCTCCCTTTGGTTGAGGACAAGTCTGGGAGGGACTCTAAGAGAGGGATTCAGCCAACTTTCCCAGCAGCTAGTAGAGTGGATACCTTGGCCCTTAAGCTAGGGTCTGCGTGGTATAATGCAGCATCTAGTATCCTGTGACCACATGTGCTTTTTTAAAACATCAGCTTTATTGAGATGTAACTCACATACTATAAAATTCAGTGTTTTTTAGCATATTCACAAAGTTGTACAACTACCACTACAGTCTAATTTTACAACATTTCCATCACTTGAAAAAGAAACCCCACATCCATTTGTATTTTCTATATTCCCCACCCAACAGGTGACCACTAATCTGTTTTCTGCCTCTGTGAATTTGTCTATTCTGGACACTTTGTATAAATGGAACCATACAGTGTGTGGCCTTTTCTTATCTGCTTTTAAAATGCAGTTTGACTTCCACGATTTTTTTTCAAATTCTTCTCCTTTATTTACCGACTCTCACGATTTAACTGAATGCTTTCACTTCCATGTTTTAATGAGAATCAAAGAGGATAATTACACAGAATTTAGCAATTTATTTGAAAATGTCACCTAATGCTCTGTCTTTCAAGCAAAAATTCCAGTGCATTCTTTTCCTCAAGAGAAAGCAGTGGCAAATACTATTTTTTAACTCTTGATAATACTCAAGCCATTTTGGTATCTCTGAAATTCATAGATAAAGCCTTACAGAAATATAAGATCCTTTTGACTAATCTCAATTCTTAGCCCCAATATATGAGTCCATAAATGTTATTTCTAATATATTTTACAGTAATAGCCACATTTTTTAAAAAGATTTTATTTATTTACTGGACAGAGAGAGATCACAAGTAGGCAGAGAGCAGCAGGCAGAGAGTGGGGTGGGGGAAGCAGGCTCCCTGCTGAGCCCAGAACTGGATGCAGGGGCTTGATCCCAGGACCCTGAGATCATGACCTGAGCTGAAGGCAGAGGCTTAACCCACTGAGCCACCCACATTTCTGTCATTTATTGAGACAAATCTAAATAGAGTACAAATTCTTTGGATTTAGAATCATTTTAATGATAAATACGAAATTTAAAAAAAAAACCTTTACTGGAGCCACTAGGTAATAGAACTTTGCTCTTCTTTGCATGAATTTTATAGAAAACTAAAAAATCCAGACATTAATACTCAACAAATACTTGTTATATGGAAAAAAGTGGTAGACTGAGTGAAACTAAGTGTTAATAAGAAAGTTAGTCATATCTAGAAAATCTGAATCTAAAATTTAATACATTCATTTGTCTCATTTTTTCTTACTCTTCTCTTAGTCCAATTTAAAACCTAAACATTTGTTGAGAGAATACAAGACAGATTCTTACCTGAAAAATAATGGGATGAGCCATTGAGGGTGGCGCTACTGGTTCTCACATTGACAGGCAGGTAGTGTCTACATGATTTTGTAAAAACTTAGTTCCATGAAGTAAAGTATATTAGACTAGGAGTTAGGGAAGCTAGGTGTGGCCTTGGCTCTGTGGCTAACTTTGGATTCAAAGTAAACTCTGTTGTGTAGTTTGTATGTTTTATTTCTGTTATTTATCTTTCAACTTGATGTCCTTGGAATATGTGGCGCACAGAAACCACTGGTGTAATTTAATCCTCCTTAAGAAATAACGACAACTAAGTTTTATTGATGCACTTATTCATTCCTTACTCAGCCAGGGTTTTTTACTACCTACTATGTGCCAGAAGATTAAAAGCAAATAAACTTAGTCCTCGTCTTCAGTTTATTCCTACAGCTAATGAAATACGGCCTGGTGAATAAAAAGGCCCAGAAGGCAGGAGGCACGAGGTTAGAGGTGGCTCTCTCGCAGTGGCGGTAGGACCCTGGTTGTGCCACTCAGTGCCCCTGTGTTTAAAATGGGAGAGAGTGAGTACCTGGATTTGCTGAGCCTCAGTGAATGTTAGTAGCAGCCTCAGTTCCTTCAGCAGCTGGATGTAAGACCCATAGAAACTTCAAAACTGAGAGTCAGAAATTGATCGTTGAAAGAAGCTTCTATGCTTTTTTCATGTAAAAATGGACCATTATAGGAAAGGAGTTGACCTCTTTGAAGGAACTTAGCATCTGAACTCTTGTGCATTCAGTTTCAGAAAGGAGCAGGTCTCCTTAGTGTGCTGCCCAGTCTAGGGAATAGGTTCAGTGTATGTTTTTGTGACTTGAAAGAGAAGCCATGTGTCTTTGAATCTTTATAAAATTCAAAGAACTTTGCATAGACATTATCTTTTTTCCCCCCTTAGATAGATAAAAGCCCAGAAGGACAATTCACTCAGCTAATGACATTGCCCAAAACCTTACAGCAACAAATTAATCATATTATGGACCCTCCTGGAAAAAACAGAGATGTGGAAGAAACTTTATTGCAAGTTGCTCATGATCCTGACTGTGGAGAAGTGGTGCGACTAGGTATGTTTCTGGATTTGACGTCAAGGAAATGCTGGCCATGGGTAAAAAGCAAACTGTGTGACTGAGATGTATTCTTTATTCTTCCTTGCCTGGTGAGATGGAGAGACAGATTGTCTCAGGGAAGAAGAAAGCACTAACAATCTGGGGTTTTTCCAAATCTAAATTGTCATTTGTTTGAAGTAGGGTGGTGAAAGTACTTCTGTTTTCAGATTCCTGGATCCTAAATCACTGTCAAAGGAGAAAACAATGTTTGTTTTGGTTCCAAGAACGTAACTTCTAGAAGTTTTTCCAAAGACTCCTCCGTGTCCTTCATGGTGGTCTGAGAAGGAAGGAGACTGGTGACATTTTTAGTGCTTTTATAACATCAGGAATACAGCTTTCACCAGCCGACTCCTGTTTAGTGTGTCTCATCAATGTGTTTCGTCAGTTCCCTCTGACATGGCCCATGTTCCACATATTACCCCGGGGCCTTCTCAGTGTTTACCCAAAAATCTTTTCTCTTTTTTTTTTTTTTAAGATTTTATTTATTTATTTGACAGAGAGAGTGAGAGAGGGAATATAAGCAGGGGAAGCGGGAGAGGAAGAAGCAGGCTTCCCGCAGAGCAGGGAACCTGATGTGGGGCTCTATCCCAGGATGCTGGGATCATAACCTGAGCCAAAGGCAGACGCTTAACAACTGAGCCACCTAGGTGCTCCTGTTTACCCAAAAATCTTATCTTCAGAGACCTGCTTCCCTTTGAGGTGTTTACAAGGGCTGTCCATAAAGAAATAATCATGATTAAAAATGACTCCCTTCTCCAAATGAGCACATTCTCCTGTTTTATTGAGTAAATATTTCCAGAGCTCCTCAAGGATGCAATCTACTGGCTTAGATACCCTACACAGTGATGCATTCTCCCGGGGACCTGCCCCAGACTATCAGGGCATGCATCTAGGTTCCCAGGTACCTATTTCTAAAGATAAGTGAGGAGGCACATTGTTTGTTTTCACTTTAACATGATTCTGTCACAATATGATCTCCGCTGCCTTTGTGAGAGGATGGAGGACTGAGGAATGAAAGCTTTTCTCCTAGACGGAAACTCTATACAAAAAAGATAATGTCTATGCAAAGTTCTTTGAATTTTATAAAATTTCAGATCTTGGGGTTGAGAACCAGCAGCCTTAACCAGATTTAAAAGTCATAAAATGACCTTTGAGGTTGATTTAATCCACCTCCTGTTTTAATTAAGGTGAGGAGGCCCAGGCGCAGAGGGGGCCAGGCATTTTCCTGAGCTCCCACAGCTGGTTGGTGACACGGCTGGTCGATGACACAGCTGGCAGCTCTGATCTCCTGGCCCTCAATCCTGATACCCTTTCCATTGTCATTCTGTGACACCAGGGCAGAGCTGGATTTGCTGGTGTTATTAGATAACTGGAAAGAGTATTTTGTTTTAGGTTTTAAACATGTGAAGATGACTAACATCTGGGGTTTTTTGCATCTTTGTTGGTTTTCTCTCACAGGGCTTTCAGCAATTGTGAGACCTTCTAGTATGAAACAGAGCACCAAAGGCATTTTCACTGCTGGTAAGAACTTCCAAAAATCCATGGTTGGTTGTTTTTGTTTTTTTGTTTCTGTTTTTGACAAGACTTACATTTAATTCACAATGTAATGAAGGTTACAGGTAAAAAGCTACACATAAAGCGTGAAAAGGCCTATAACACAAATGTACATATTTCTATACAAAGCTCCTATCACCATTTGCTACCCTCGTCTCCTGTGTGTGTTACCTGGGCCAAGTCCTGGGTTATAAGAGCTCTCTTTCAAGAGAGGGGACAGGGAAGAGCCTCTGAACCAACACCTAAAAATGTCGTCTTAGAGACATTAGTTATTTGCAAAGTAAAATCATTTCCTTTTTGAAGATCTAGGCTTAATGTAACCTGTTGGATCAAAGGCCTCAGCATTCCTGATTAAAATGTAAACCTATATCTGTATCCTGCAAGTACTTCTGAAGTGCTAAATTGTGACGGTCATGAACTAGGACATAGCACTGGTATACGGACTGGCAAAACAGCACTGTCATCAGTCCGAAACAGTCAAACCATGTGAAGTACTGTTGGAAGCCTTACTGCCCCTCTCAATTTTCTGAATAACTCCTTGTGTGCAGGTTATCCCCTCATTTTAGGATTTATGGAAGTCACATGTGCGTATCTTTACCAAAGCAGCAGTACCTTGCCTTTCCACACACCCCCTAACCCCTGCATTTTCCCCTTTCCAGAGACAACTGCTGCTAACTCCTAGTGGATTGGTTTTATTTCCACTGCCAGTTTGCTAAATAGTAGGCCGCTTCTCTTCTTTTCAGTTGTTGGCATCATCTGTGGACTTCTCACTGTAGCAGATTAGAATTCAGCTCTTGTACCCACCGGGCCACACATGCTCACCCCTCCCATCCCTCAGTCCTCGGGTAGTTGCTGTGCACCTTTGGTGAAGCCAGTTGTCAGCATTTACAACGTATGACTCTCAATGTGATTCATAGGTGAACCGTATCGTATGCTTTTCCTTCCCTGCACGACTTTGTTTTCCCACAGAGATTGTCTTCCTCTGTCATTTGGGAGGGATCCCCTATCTTCCCATCTCTTGTGTCTTTTACTTTTGTGGTGTATACTTGTATTTTTTTTTTTTTTTACAGATTTTTATTTATTTTGACAGAGAGAGATCACAAGTAGGCAGAGAGGCAAGCAGAGAGAGAGAGAGAGAGAGAGAGAGGAGGAAGCAGGCTCCCTGCTGAGCAGGGAGCCCAATGCGGGACTCGATCCCAGAACCCTGAGATCATGACCTGAGTGGAAGGCAGAGGCTTAACCCACTGAGCCACCCAGGCGCCCCTGTATACTTGCATTTTGATGAAGCATGCCTCCAGTAACTTCCCGAGTAAGGATGCAGGGAGGCAAATCGGGAGACTGTGTATAACTAGAAATCTCATTAGCTAATCCTTACAGATAATGGACATTTAAGCTGGAGATAGATTAGAAATCATTTCTTTTTTTTTTTAAACATTTTATTTATTTATTTGACAGACAGAAATCACAAGTAGGCAGAGAGGCAGGCAGAGAGAGAGAGGAGGAAGCAGGCTCCCCGCCAGAGCAGAGAGCCCGATGCGGGGCTCGATCCCAGGACTCTGAGATCATGACCTGAGCCGAAGGCAGAGGCCCAACCCACTGAGCCACCCAGGCACCCCTAGAAATCATTTCTTTAAGAATTTTGATATCATGGGGCGCCTGGGTGGCTCAGTAGGTTAAAGCCTCTGCCTTCGGCTCAGGTCATGATCCCAGGGTCCTGGGATCAAGCCCTATGCCTGGCTCTCTGCTCACCAGGGAGCCTGCTTCCTCCTCTCTCTGCCTGCTTCTCTGCCTACTTGTGATCTCTGTCTGTCAAATAAATAAATAAAATCTTAAAAAAAAAAAAGAATTTTGATATCATTATTCCAATTATCTTCTCATTTGAGGATTGCTCTTGAGGTCCAGAGCCATTCTCAGTCCTTTGTGTATATTCTTTCTGGAAGCTGGTTAGGTCTTCACTTGTCCCCAGGGCTCTGATATTTCTCATTAATATGCTTTGATAATGTATCTGTTCTTATCTGCTTTACTGGGTGCTCATTGGCCTTTCATTTTGGAAACTTAGCAAATAAGAATATAAGAAATTTTTCTTTTATTGTTTTTTTACCTTCTTCCCATCTGTTTTCTCTCTTCTCTTTCTAGAACTCCTTTTATTCAAATATTGGACCTCCTTGAAGAGCCCTTTGGCTTTCTTTCTTTTGTCTCCTGTTTTTGATCTCTGTCTTTTTGCTCTACTTTCTGGGAGATTTTCTCAACTTTAGTTTCCAACCCTTCTTGAGTACTTTATTTCTGTTATTATATTTTTAATTTTCAGGAGCTCTTTCTGTGTTCTTTTTTATTCTCTGAATGTACATTTTTATTTATTTTCTTAAAGATTTATTGGGGCGCCTGGGTGGCTCAGTGGGTTAAAGCCTCTGCCTTCTGCTCTGGTCATGATCCCAGAGTTCTGGGATCAAGCCCCACATCGGGCTCTCTGCTCAGCAGGGAGCCTGCTTCCCCTTCTCTCTCTCTGCCTGCCTCTCTGCCTACTTGTGATCTCTGTCTGTCAAATAAATAAAATCTTTAAAAAAAAAAAGATTTATTTATTAGAGTGAGTGTGTGCACATATGTGTGCACATGAGCAGGGGGAGGGGCAGAGGGAGAGGCAGAGAATCTCAAACAGATTCCATGCTGAGCACAGAGCCCCATGTGGGGCTTGAGCTCATGATCCTGAGATCATGACCTGAGCTGAAATCAGGAGTCAGACACTTACCCAACTGAGCCACCCAGGAGCCCCGGAATGTATATTTTTTAAAAAAAATTTAAATATTCTGTTCTTGTCTTAGAGGCTTAAGCATTTGAACATATCTTTGGATATTGCCACATAGCTCTCTGGAGTGGTTACATCAATGTATAGGTCTACTAGCAGGAAATTAGTGTTCTCTTTTCTCCCCATTTCTCTCCAACACTTGGTGTTGTCAAATGACGGACTTCCCTAATTTGGTCTTTCTTTATGTGACCATCTACTGAGCCTCTCTAATGTGTCAGCCATGCAGGATACAAAAATGAACACAACACCGTCCTGCCTTCAAGGAGTTCATTATCTAGAAGAGGAGGCAGATGTGTGAATAGAAATTTGCAATACTGGGTGATAGATGGCGCAGAGGTAATACAAAGTAGGGATTACTCTTTCAGCCTGATTCTGATCCCTGGGCTGAGATTGCCAGGAAGTGGGTATGGTCACCCTCTTACCTCTCACCCCAATGGATACCCAGCTATGTTTGGCCCCAAGGACACAGTGCTGCCCCTCCTGAGTCTTTGGAAAGATTTAGCCAAAAATTCAACAAAGATTTAGTAGCTCATGTGCTGAAGATCTTCCTACCATACAGAAGTACATAGCTTTGCATTTCCAGTTCAGATAGTTTTTTTTTAATATTTTTTATTTGTTTATTTTGAGAGAGAGAGAGAGACAGAGTGAGAGAGAGCATGAGAGGGGAGGTCAGAGGAGAAGCAGACTCCCCATGGAGCTGGGAGCCCGATGTGAGACTCGATCCCAGGGCTCTGGGACCATGACCTGAGCCGAAGGCAGTTGCTTAACCAACTGAGCCACCCAGGCACCCCAGATAGTTTTTTATCTATGTTCCTGCTGGTTTATCCTGGCAAGGCTGTAGATGAGGTATTTTTGTTTGCTTGGGTGGTTCAGGCTATTAATCTGTGATTTGCATGATTGCAGCTTCTTGGGTGAGGCTGAATGCTTTAGGTTTTTCTTCCTTCCTTTCTTTCTTTCTTTCTTTCTTTCTTTCTTTCTTTCTTTCTTTCTCAACCTCCCCACCCCCCATTTTGGGCTGTTTGACCCATAAGGAATTATTGGATTTATGGACTTTTTTTTTTTAAGCTGTGATCATGTGTTATGGGGTTTTTAAATTTTTCTTTTCTTTTAGAAATACATATTAAGGGGCGCATGGGTGGCTCAGTGGGTTAAGGCCTTTGCCTTCGGCTCAGGTCATGGTCCCGGGGTCCTGGGATCGAGCCCCGCATTGGGCTCTCTGCTTGGTGGGGAGCCTGCTTCCTCCTCTCTCTCTCTGCCTGCCTCTCTGCCTACTTGTGATCTCTGTCTGTCGAATAAATAAATAAAATCTTAAAAAAAAAAAAATACATATTAAAATTTTTACAGATGAAATGACAGGATGTTTGGGATTTGCTTGGAAAAAAAACATAGTGGAGGGAAGTGGGTTGGGGTAGATGACACAGTATTCTCCCTGAATTGATAAATTGTTGAAGCTGAGTGAAGAAACATGAGACATGTTCTGCTCTTCTTTTATAAGTTTGAGTTTTTGTCTAGTAAAATGTTTTTAGAAATCCGTTATCACCTCTTGACGCTTCAACATGAAATGAATCTTTGGTCCTCTTTCCACTTGTTATTTCCAGTGGCCAGCAGAGGGCAGTGGGTGACACACAAGCCACAGCCGTTTTCCTGGGGCCGTGCTAGTGCCCAGTGCTCCTTCCTGCTTATGCTCACTGCCTACTTCCCTTTCCTTTCCAAAGATGCCTTATTGGATCATGGAGGGCCAAAATAACCGGAATGTATGCAGCCTGCTTTGCAGGTGCAGAAACTGTGGAAAGTGATGGGCATCCCTTCAAAGTGTGGGTTTACTTACCTTATGCTCTGGCTTCTCTGGTTTTATGGTGCTTGTGGGCTGTGAAGTTGACCCAGGCCAAAGCCCTAGAGCTTGGGGCTCATATTCCAATATAACTAGTGTGACTTGGGCAAGTTACCAATTTTTTTTTTTAGTTTTAATTTCATAGGGATAATTATACCTGCCTCACCAGGTTGTGAAAATTACATCTTATGATAAACAAACCCATCTAGCACTGTACCTGGACTTTCTCTTTTGGATACCATTACCATACCATACCATACCAAAGTTTCCTGACCCCTCTTTAGAATAGGCCTCTTTGTCGGGGGCCCTGGGTGGCTCAGTTGGTTAAGGAAC